TACATGGTTATCTACAAGGGTGAGATATCTAGTCAGTACTGGTATATAATGGTTATCTACAGGGGTGAGATATCTAGTCAGTACTGGTATATAATTGGTATCTACAGGGGTGAGATATCTAGTCTAGTCAGTAATGGTCTATACATGGTTATCTACAAGGGTGAGATATCTAGTCAGTACTGGTATATAATGGTTATCTACAGAGGTGAGATATCTAGTTAGTGCTGGTCTATACATGGTTATCTACAGGGGTGAGATATCTAGTTAGTGCTGGTCTATACATGGTTATCTACAGGGGTGAGATATCTAGTCTAGTCAGTAATGGTCTATACATGGTTATCTACAAGGGTGAGATATCTAGTCAGTACTGGTATATAATGGTTATCTACAGAGGTGAGATATCTAGTTAGTGCTGGTCTATACATGGTTATCTACAGGGGTGAGATATCTAGTTAGTGCTGGTCTATACATGGTTATCTACAATAGTGAGATATCTAGTCAGTACTGGTATATACATGGTTATCTACAGGGGTGAGATATCTAGTCAGTGCTGGTCTATACATGGTTATCTACAGGGGTTAGATATCTAGTCAGTGCTTGTCTATACATGGTTATCTACTTGGGTAAGAAACCTTACCAACAAGGGGTTGAAGGGTAGAGATCCCTCTACTTTACCAACAAGGGTTTGAAGGGTAGAGATCCCCTACCTTACCAACAAGAGGTTGAAGTGTAGAGATCCCTCTACCTTACCAACAAGAGGTTGAAGGGTAGAGATCCTCTACCTTACCAACAAGAGGTTGAAGGGTAGAGACCCCCCCCCTACCTTACCAACAAAGGGTTAAAGGGTAGAGACCCCCTCTACCTTACCAACAAGGGCTTAAAAGGGTAAAGATCACCTACCTTACCAACAAGAGGTTGAAGGGTAGAGATACCTCTACCTTACCAACAAGAGGTTAAAAGGGTAAAGATCACCTACCTTACCAACAAGAGGTTGAAGTGAAAAGACCCCCTCTACCTTACCAACAAGAGGTTAAAAGGGTAAAGATCACCTACCTTACCAACAAGAGCTTGAAGTGAAAAGACCCCCTCTACCTTACCAACAAGAGGTTGAAGTGTAGAGATCCCTCTACCTTACCAACAAGGGGTTAAAGGGTAGAAACCCCCTCTACCTTACCAACAAGAGGTTGAAGTGTAGAGACCCCCTCTACCTTACCAACAAGAGGTTAAAGGGTAGAGACCCCCTCTACCTTACCAACAAAGGGTTAAAAGGGTAAAGATCACCTACCTTACCAACAAGAGGTTGAAGGGTAGAGATCCCTCTACCTTACCAACAAGAGGTTGAAGGGTAGAGATCCCCTACCTTACCAACAAGGGGTTAAAGTGAAAAGACCCCCTCTACCTTACCAACAAGAGGTTGAAGTGTAGAGATCCCTCTACCTTACCAACAAGAGGTTAAAGGGTAGAGACCCCCTCTACCTTACCAACAAAGGGTTAAAAGGGTAAAGATCACCTACCTTACCAACAAGAGGTTGAAGTGAAAAGACCGCCTCTACCTTACCAACAAGAGGTTGAAGTGTAGAGATCCCTCTACCTTACCAACAAGAGGTTGAAGTGTAGAGACCCCCTCTACCTTACCAACAAGACGTTGAAGGGTAGAGATCCCCTACCTTACCAACAAGAGGTTGAAGTGAAAAGACCCCCTCTACCTTACCAACAAGAGGTTGAAGTGTAGAGATCCCTCTACCTTACCAACAAGGGGTTAAAGGGTAGAGACCCCCTCTACCTTACCAACAAGAGGTTGAAGTGTAGAGATCCCTCTACCTTACCAACAAGGGGTTAAAGGGTAGAGATCCCTCTACCTTACCAACAAGAGGTTGAAGTGTAGAGATCCCTCTACCTTACCAACAAGGGGTTAAAGGGTAGAGACCCCCTCTACCTTACCAACAAGGGTTTGAAGGGTAGAGATCCCCTACCTTACCAACAAGAGGTTGAAGGGTAGAGACCCCCTCTACCTTACCAACAAGAGGTTAAAGTGAAAAGACCCCCTCTACCTTACCAACAAAGGGTTAAAAGGGTAAAGATCACCTTCCTTACCAACAAGAGGTTGAAGGGTAGAGATCCCCTACCTTACCAACAAGAGGTTGAAGTGTAGAGATCCCTCTACCTTACCAACAAGAGGTTGAAGGGTAAAGATCACCTACTTTACCAACAAGAGGTTGAAGTGAAAAGACCCCCTCTACCTTACCAACAAGAGGTTAAAGGGTAGAGACCCCCTCTACCTTACCAACAAAGGGTTAAAAGGGTAAAGATCACCTACCTTACCAACAAGAGGTTGAAGTGAAAAGACCCCCTCTACCTTACCAACAAGAGGTTGAAGTGTAGAGATCCCTCTACCTTACCAACAAGAGGTTAAAGTGAAAAGACCCCCTCTACCTTACCAACAAAGGGTTAAAATGGTAAAGATCACCTTCCTTACCAACAAGAGGTTGAAGGGTAGAGATCCCCTACCTTACCAACAAGAGGTTGAAGTGTAGAGATCCCTCTACCTTACCGACAAGGGGTTAAAAGGGTAAAGATCACCTACCTTACCAACAAGAGGTTGAAGGGTAGAGATCCCCTACCTTACCGACAAGGGGTTAAAAGGGTAAAGATCACCTACCTTACCGACAAGGGGTTAAAAGGGTAAAGACCCCCTCTACCTTACCAACAAGAGGTTGAAGTGTAGAGACCCCCTCTACCTGACCAACAAGAGACAACAGTTACTTTTCTCTCTCCTTTGCAGAATGTCTTTCATGGTTTTGTTGTCTCACTGCTTGACATCATTGACATAATTCTATAGATATGAATGGGAATAGCCCATGTCTAATGGGAAAGGAAATTTCACATCAGTGTAAACTGGGGATACACCTGTCCAAGCATCTATCATTTTTTAACATACTGAGCTGGTAAAGATTGAGCATGCAAAGTGATTGCTAGCTTAAGAATCTTTATGACGGTCAAGATCACAGTCCCATCCTCAAGGAAGTGCTTTTCCTTTTAACTTTCTTGGTTTCCACATGTGTAATTCTGTTGTTATCTCAATGCCTGGGGTTGGTGATGTGACATTACTTAAATTATTGCTGTGACATTTCATACTATTGTCCTGACAGGGGAATTCTCTTACCCTGGATAGGAACATTCACGCGTTTTACCAAAGTGAGATTTCCTTGTCTCACCATTGGATTCAGACAGGGGATTCCCTTGTCTCACCATTGGATTCAGACAGGGGATTTCCTTGTCTCACCATTGGATTCAGACAGGGGATTCCCTTGTCTCAACATTGGATTCAGACAGGGGATTTCCTTGTCTCACCATTGGGTTCAGACAGGGGATTTCCTTGTCTCACCATTGGATTCAGACAGGGGATTTCCTTGTCTCACCATTGGGTTCAGACAGGGGATTTCCTTGTCTCACCATTGGATTCAGACAGGGGATTTCCTTGTCTCAACATTGGATTCAGACAGGGGATTTCCTTGTCTCACCATTGGGTTCAGACAGGGGATTTCCTTGTCTCACCATTGGATTCAGACAGGGGATTTCCTTGTCTCAACATTGGATTCAGACAGGGGATTTCCTTGTCTCACCATTGGATTCAGACAGGGGATTTCCTTGTCTCACCATTGGATTCAGACAGGGGATTCCCTTGTCTCAACATTGGATTCAGACAGGGGATTTCCTTGTCAGGACAATAATATGATGTCACAGTAACAAAGCACTGACATCACGTGAACAATCAAATCAAGTCAACAAAGCAAAGCATTAGGACAACTATCAATGATAAATCCAGCTTAGTAAAAAAAAAAAATCACCCCCATGTTGGTGAGGCTCAGTGATCTTGAACCCTCTGGAAAAGATGTTGTGTTGTGATCCACCTATCTCACCTCCATGGGAGCAAGATTCTATTAATCTCACTTACTTAAAATATTGATACACTTGTCCATTGTAAACAGACACATTATGGTGCTTTGATTCTATTTCAATAGAGATGTCTACATTTCTCTATATTTGTCTTTCAGTTATCGGATGTCTCTAGATTTTTCTAAATTTGTGTTTCACAGTCAACGTATCTCTCTACAGTTTTCTGTATTTGTGTGACAGTCAGCGTATATATCTAGTTTTCTGTATTTGTGTTTCAGTCTGTATATATCTAAATCTTTCTGTATTTGTGTTTCAGTCTGTATATCTCTAAATCTTTCTGTACTTGTGTTTCAGTCAGTGGATGTCTCTAGTTTTTCTGTATTTCAGTCAGTGGATGTCTCTAGTTTTCTGTATTTGTGTTTCAGTCAGTGGATGTCTCTAGTTTTCTGTATTTGTGTTTCAGTCTATCTCTCTAGATTTTTTTGTATTTGTGTTTCAGTCAGTGGATGTCTCTAGTTTTCTGTACTTGTGTTTCAGTCAGTGGTTGTCTCTAGTTTTCTGTACTTGTGTTTCAGTCTATCTCTCTAGATTTTTCTGTATTTGTGTTTCAGTCAGTGGGTGTCTCTAGTTTTCTGTACTTGTGTTTCAGTCAGTGGATGTCTCTAGTTTTCTGTATTTGTGTTTCAGTCAGTGGATGTCTCTAGTTTTCTGTACTTGTGTTTCAGTCAGTGGATGTCTCTAGTTTTCTGTATTTGTGTTTCAGTCTATCTCTCTAGATTTTTCTGTATTTGTGTTTCAGTCAGTGGATGTCTCTAGTTTTCTGTATTTGTGTTTCAGTCAGTGGATGTCTCTAGTTTTCTGTACTTGTGTATCAGTCAGTGGATGTCTTTAGTTTTCTGTACTTGTGTTTCAGTCAGTGGATGTCTCTAGTTTTCTGTACTTGTGTTTCAGTCAGTGGATGTCTCTAGTTTTCTGTACTTGTGTTTCAATCAGTGGATGTCTCTAGTTTTCTGTATTTGTGTTTCAGTCTATCTCTCTAGATTTTTTTGTATTTGTGTTTCAGTCAGTGGATGTCTCTAGTTTTTTCTGTACTTGTGTTTCAGTCAGTGGATGCCTTAAGGTAAAGCCAGAGTTGAAGACCGGCAGTAACAGCTGTTGTAAGTCCACAAATCCACAATGTTGTCACAAACCTTCGCTATCAAAGTTTGAGTTTGGGGAGCGGAGTTTTGTCAATGGCTCGTATGAACAGACCCCATCACCCACCGAGTCAGTGTGTTCCTCCACCTCAGGAAAAGAGTCCGGCTCTACACTGTCATCATCAGGCTCGTGTAGTAAGGAGTCGGTGTGCTTCTCACCACCCACAGAAGCAAGCTGTACCTACTTTAGTCACACATCCAGGTATTCAATCTTTTTCGCTTTTTGTTTTTGAAAAACTGTAAAATCATATATTTCAATTGAACTCTAATTTCATGGTTCTACAAAAATTTGCATTGTGTCAGCTGTTTATTTCCTGGAGAAGAATTTCTCACAAAATAAACCAGTACTTGTCATTGTCAATTTTTATCTGTTTTTATTCCATGCATTAAAAAATGTGTTAATATAAGGTAACCACAAAAATAAATCTCCCTCAAAAATTAATGATTTTACATTATATTCTTTATCCTGCAAATAAGAAGGCAAGCACATTGGTATAAATACTCAAAGTAGGGGTAAGATGTATTACAAGATATTTCTGCCAAGACTGCAATACAACTGGGTATGCTTATTGTTGCTTTCTTCCCATATTTAATATTTTTCATCCAAACCTGAAAAGAAGAAAATGTCAATCAGCAATTACACTCTTCTTCCTCCCTCCAACATCATTTATCTAATAGATTTTGATTTCTGAAGTAATTATAGATATGTATATATTAAAACTAAATTTAAGAATAAAAAGAAATCTTTCTAGAGTTAAAATAATTGTTTTTTTCAGGTTACACAGAACAGATCCAGAGCGAGGCTACATTTCTTCGGAACCTCAGTCTGGTTACTCACACCTTGTGTCTTCGTCCTATGCCCATCATTTTTTCAAACAAGAACATCACGATCGCAGCTATGACATGGCCACCATCACCAGGAATCATGGATACCCACAAACCCCATGTGTTCCGCCCCCACCCATGCATATAAAACAGGAGCCAAGAGAACTGTCTTTTGACAATGGTGAGTGATTATTACACCCAAACTGGGACTTGTATATGAAATCAAAGTTTAGGAAAGAACTGGGCCCAAACTGTTTCAGTAGCAGCTTATAAACATTGTTTCTCTGCTTTTAACAGTGTGTGATTTTTTTTAATGAGAAGTGGACTATGACTGGACATTTGATCCATAGCACTGTTTGTGCTGGAATGCTACTTATCCCAGACTGTACGTATAACTGTGGACACTTCCTATGCATGGTCACTCTAATTAGCAATGTTGTATTGTATCTATACATACTTATTTAGAATTATGGAATAGCCTGTTTTTTTGTGGTGATAATATTTTTGCTCTTTCGTGGATCATTAATGTGATCACGAAAATCTGATGCATCAAAAAAGGAGATGCTTCTTAATTTCATTAGCAAGTAGCAAGTTCTACTGAATTAGCAAGTTATAAGGTACATACTGAATTTAATCTAGTGTTCTTTAGAGTCATGACCCATGGCATTGCTCACCATACATCAATTAGACATACCTAGTGTAATATAATATCCTGTACAAGTGTCAAACTTTGCTTGTTATGATCTTTAAGGATAGCAAGGCTAAAGTCAAGTCAAACATATATGTTATATTCATTTTAGTATGTCTCTGCACCTATTTTGTTCTTTTAATATTACAGTTTGTCTCAGTATGGATCACTAAAAATACTTACCTTGACAGTGCAAGTGATGAGATAGAGATACAGGTATCTGTGATCAGAAGGTCATTGACTATAACAGAGATACAGGTATCTGTGATCAGAAGGTCATTGACTATAACAGAGATACAGGTATCTGTGATCAGAAGGTCATTGACTATAACAGAGATACAGGTATCTGTGATCAGAAGGTCATTGACTATAACAGAGATACAGGTATCTGTGATCAGAAGGTCATTGACTATAACAGAGATACAGGTATCTGTGATCAGAAGGTCATTGACTATAACAGAGATACAGGTATCTGTGATCAGAAGGTCATTGACTATAACAGAGATACAGGTATCTGTGATCAGAAGGTCATTGACTATAACAGAGATACAGGTATCTGTGATCAGAAGGTCATTGACTATAACATAATTGTAAGAAGAGTTGTAGATTATGTATCAGTGTAATGTCAACCTCAAAGTATCATTTTGATGACATGATCCAGGTGTGTCAGTTTGATGACATGATCCAGGTGTGTCAGTTTGATGTCATTGTCTGGCTGTCAGTTTGATGTCATGGTCCAGGTGTCAGTTTGATGTCATGGTCCAGGTGTCAGTTTGATGTCATTGTCTGGCTGTCAGTTTGATGTCATGGTCCAGTTGTATCACTTTGATGTCATTGTCTGGCTGTCAGTTTGATGTCATGGTCCAGCTGTCAGTTTGATGTCATGGTCCAGGTGTGTCAGTTTGATGACATGATCCAGGTGTATCAGTTTGATGTCATTGTCTGGCTGTCAGTTTGATGCCATGGTCCAGTTGTCAGTTTGATGTCATTGTCTAGGTGTGTCAGTTTGATGACATGATCCAGGTGTATTACTTTGATGTCATTGTCTGGCTGTCAGTTTGATGTCATGGTCCAGGTGTCAGTTTGATGTTGTGGTTCAGTTGTCAGTTTGATGTTTAGGACTAGATGTTGATTTGATGTCATGATCTAGGTGTCAGTTTGATGTCAAAGTCTTGGTGTCAGTTGGATTTTTAATGTTAAATTTGGTGTGATGTCATGGTCCATTCATTTATACGTGTATGATAAATTGATAGATTTCAGCTACAGTTGGTGGGCATTATAAGACATTAGTGAGAGTGTAACAGTCTGCTAACAAGGAAGGAAGATGTTATAATTATCTCTACAGTGCTGCCAGACTCATCAGCAGTATGATCAACCTATAATGATGCTAAAGAGGCGTGCTGTGCTACCACAGTGAGCTTTAGAATACCGTGTGTATACTATCAATCTTTATTTTTTGTGGATACTTGTGATGCAAGTGATTATTTCTTATAGTGGAATTTTAACAACTGAACAAGAACTACAAGATGTACTTTATTTATTTGTTGATAAATGAATATTTGGGGAAATTTGTAAACACATGAATTTGTCTTTTTTCTTGTGCCAGTCTTTCCTATTTACAGTGTCTGTCCTTCTTACTATACCAGTCTGTCCAGATTACAATTGTGTAAACACAGTATCTGCTTCTAGTTACTTTAGTCTATTCTCTCAGTTACCTGTCCTTTTAATTACAAATATTGTTTTTCCTAATTACTGTAGTCTATCCTTGTAATTACAATCATCATTTCTCCTAATTACTGTAGTCTATCCTTGTAATTACAATCATCATTTCTCTTAATTACTGTAGCCTATCCTTGTAATTACAATCATCATTTCTCCTAATTACTGTAGTCTATCCTTGTAATTACAATCATCATTTCTCTTAATTACTGTAGCCTATCCTTGTAATTACAATCATCATTTCTCTTAATTACTGTAGTCTATCCTTGTAATTACAATTATCATTTCTCCTAATTACTGTAGCCTATCCTTGTAATTACAATCATCATTTCTCCTAATTACTGTAGTCTATCCTTGTAATTACAATCATCATTTCTCCTAATTACTGTAGCCTATCCTTGTAATTACAATCATCATTTCTTTTAATTACTGTAGCCTATCCTTGTAATTACAATTATCATTTCTCCTAATTACTGTAGTCTATCCTTGTAATTACAATCATCATTTCTCCTAATTACTGTAGTCTATCCTTGTAATTACAATTATCATTTCTCCTAATTACTGTAGCCTATCCTTGTAATTACAATCATCATTTCTCCTAATTACTGTAGTCTATCCTTGTAATTACAATCATCATTTCTCCTAATTACTGTAGTCTATCCTTGTAATTACAATCAACATTTCTCCTAATTACTGTAGTCTATCCTTGTAATTACAATCATCATTTCTCCTAATTACTGTAGCCTATCCTTGTAATTACAATCATCATTTCTCCTAATTACTGTAGTCTATCCTTGTAATTACAATCATCATTTCTCCTAATTACTGTAGTCTATCCTTGTAATTACAATCATCATTTCTCCTAATTACTGTAGTCTATCCTTGTAATTACAATCATCATTTCTCCTAATTACTGTAGCCTATCCTTGTAATTACAATCATCATTTCTCCTAATTACTGTAGCCTATCCTTGTAATTACAATCATCATTTCTCCTAATTACTGTAGCCTATCCTTGTAATTACAATCAGCATTTCTCCTAATTACTGTAGTCTATCCTTGTAATTACAATCATCATTTCTCTTAATTACTGTAGTCTATCCTTGTAATTACAATCATCATTTCTCTTAATTACTGTAGTCTATCCTTGTAATTACAATTATCATTTCTCCTAATTACTGTAGTCTATCCTTGTAATTACAATCATCATTTCTCCTAATTACTGTAGCCTATCCTTGTAATTACAATCATCATTTCTCATAATTACTGTAGTCTATCCTTGTAATTACAATCATCATTTCTCTTAATTACTGTAGTCTATCCTTGTAATTACAATTATCATTTCTCCTAATTACTGTAGTCTATCCTTGTAATTACAATTATCAATCCTTCTTATCACTTAAGTTTAATTACAGAATGTAGTCGACTTAATTGTGGCTTATCATAATAAGAATAAAGTTCTTTAATTACTACAGGAGACAGTCCTACTAATTATTTGCCAGATCACAAACATCTCGGCTCCCAAGTTTCTGTATTCTTTCCTTCCAGTTACAACAGCTTAATTAATGTTAACTGAAGTCACAGTAATTACAAAACTAATGTACAGTGACATTAGCAGATTTCCATTATTTAGCAGACAAATGTTTCAAGAATAAAACATGAATGTATGACATAATCGTCAACACTGGTTAAAGACATCGTTATGGACATAGCAGTGTAACATTAATATATGACATCATCATAACCTTTTTTCAAGATGCCGAGACATCAGTGTCACACTGCTACATGACATTTTTTCTGTGCAGAGATATCAAAACCTAACAGCATTCCATTTCTAGCTTATCATAAGCTTTTTCTATTTAATGAGGATGTAATAGCTTCTACACAACATAACGATCATGACTGTATCACCTTAAACACTATGATTGTATTGTCCAGTCACCAAGAAATAATCAGGTTATCATATCATTGGTGGATTCCTGTGTCTTTTTCCAATAAATACTCCGAGTCATAGGAATCTCCTAATGAAAATGTAAGACAATATTTTGATCAGAAAAGAATAAGTAAATGAAATAGCATTGATTTTGCTGAATAACAACCAATTAAATCTTAAATCTAAAATGTCGGGACTATCTTTATTCTACTCATAAATAACTGCATAGAATTTCTGGATGTTTCACAAAAGGAGGTGTTCTAAATGAATGTCTACAGGCATATACAATGAACATATTCTCTATTTAATGTACTGTGTGAAATGATGGTGAAAGCTAAAAGAATATTTGAATTCGACAGTTGAATAAATGAAGATAAAGTATGTTGAGTACATTAGCAGATCTGTCTACATGAAATGAGACAGAATTCAAATATATTGATGTCAGAATTTAATCAGTGTTATATTACAAAGTTATGTTATCAATATATAATGACTTTGATTGATTGAATGATTGGCTTAATTGATTGATTGATTAATTGATAAAAGCTAAAAAAACAAGGACATGAATCATGTGGAGACAACTGTTAAATAATATCTGTAAAGGTAATTTTAATGCATCACAAATAGCAAGGATTAAAAGGATGAAAAGTAAACTTCATTTTACGATGCTTTCATGCGTATTTGTACATTTTGTGGACTTCTAATCTTTCTCGGGTTTGGTGGATGAATCTATGACTGTTTATTTTTTTAATTCAGCTGTATAATTTTAGTTGTGTTTGTATATTTCAGGGTTCCCTTGTCCCTACGACAATAGCATGCGCTTCTTTTGTCACGAGGCTCCAGACTCCGCCTACTTTGAACGAATTCGAGAAAAACATCGGGAAAGATTTGAAGGTCAGTGAAAACTTTTTATGTAAATCCTGCAAATGTAAACAGAGAAACTGTTGATAATGTTTCTTTTTTAATTAAGGCATGTCTCTGATTGTGAATGTAACTTGGCCAACATGAATATAACGGAACCAAACACATGATGTCACCAAAGTTGATGTACACCATAGTACTCAACTCTCACTAAATGGCACACAGGTCTTTAGGTGAACTTACAAGTTTAGGTTTGAGTGAACAAAACTTGATCAACATATGTTAGGAAATATCCAAACACATATATCATTGGTCAGCGCAAAATGTTGTCTTCTACATCTAGTACCCCACTGAATCCCCTCAGCATTTTGATGATCATTATGTATACTGAACATTGATCAATGAAAAAAAAATGGAAAAATCTGTCCACAAAAGCTTGAAGGAACACCTTCTTTCTCCTGTTAGAGAGCTTTCTTTTCAAAGGAAGGTCAAAGGTGGTACATGACCTTGAACTTTACTGAAACGTATTTTGTGAAAAGCATGGGGGTTGAAATCATAAATATTATCATATTTCTCATGTTTGGTGGTAGAAATTTCCAACTGACTATTGGCACCTTTACAATTAAACTGTGTCCCTCTCTTGGCTGATTTGTTTTTGTTTTCATACCAGAATGAATTTATCAAAGAATCTTTCAAAACAAATCACAAAGACTTGCCAAGTTCTATTTTCACTTTCAGATATATTGATGATGCCCTGTCTTTAAATAGCAAAAGATTTATTTACCATGCTCATCAAATATATATCAATCAGAAAGGACATGACATACTCTTTTGCATCACCCTCCAGTCTTCAATCATACCTACATAGACAGCTTTCCACCACATTGTATGATAAATGATATGATGATTTCAATTTTTTCCCTGATGTGAATTTTCCATCTCTGGATATCAACATCCCTGCATACCCAAACCTACGGTGTTGACAAGTCAAAGTAAATTCAGTATGGGTTTGCTCCCAATATCATGGTTTTCATGCAAGATGTTTGCAACAAATAGAAAACTCACGACACTGGTTTTTTTGAGAGATGCAGGTTGATGAAGATTACGGGAAAGTTTTATGGTTGTTATAATGATCTCGTAGGAAAATTGTTGATGCACATTAGTATACCAATTGGTTCCATCATTGGTGACCTGGCTGGCTCTTAATTGGGAATGTGACATTACTTATTGGGATTGGCCAAGGGTTACATGGCAGATGTGGTTGATGAACCAGAAGCTCACTCCACCAGAACACCTGGTCGTGATCTCCTTGTACTTTTTCATGCCTTTTGTACATATTTTGCTTTAGTTTCATCAAAGTTGAGTTTGAATTATTATTCTTTTGACAGGTTGGTTTCTTCCTTGTTGTTTTTGTGGATTAATTCACTGGGTGGAATGTTGATTGTATAATCTGTTGGTTGTAGATTCAGATTCCTACAGAATGAACCTCAGTAACTTTGATAAGAATAATAACTTCAGTGTTTGAAAAAACACATAATGATTAAATGAAAAATATGGTAGAAAAGCAATATTCCATCATATATTGTTTTTCACAAAAATCTTTTGGTTTAAAATTTAATGGAGAAATATGCATATTTGTCAAAGTACATTCTTTGATTTTAAATATGGTAAAATTAGATACATTTTGTGGGAAATAATGTTGCTTTATTTCATTGTTGTCTTTCATTTATGTTAATTATTGTTTTGCTGGGCCAGTTAGTGATTCTTTGAAAAAACAGAAATTGAAAACCCACAAAAACATATGATTCTACAGTATGTTATATCATTTTAAGAAATTTGACCTTTTGGACTGACACAAAGAGTAACATCAGCAAATTAAGTAAAACACCAATTCAAAATTAGGGGACAGGAGAAAAAATGAAAAAAATAGAGAAGATAAAAAAATTAGTGAAAAGAATAATTTTCTTTGTGACTTCCTTTTGGTGAAAATTGAAAGTTGCTCTCTGGAGCTGGGTATTAACACTATCAGCGTTGATTTGTGTTGGGAAGTCAACGTGAATTAACTTCGAATCAGCCTTAATCAACGTTGTTTTACAAATAGTTTCAAGATGCTATTGTGTGATTGTATTCTTAAATCGAGTTGTCCCTCGTGTAGTTGCAAAGCTAATCAAGGTGCCCCTTGTGTTTGCGAAAAGCTAATCAAATTCAATTACTTCAATCATCTTTGCCATCTAGGGGGATCAGAAACTCTTCGAGGATACCAGGACCAAATCCAATTTATTATGAAGGTGGTCGAATTCAGTTTATCAGGTCTGCTGAGTACTTAATCCTGGCACATAAGACCCTAAGATGAAATGTCGCACAAAATGCCACGTGTGGTAGTATGAGCACAGAATTTAGGGAGAAATGATGAAGCAGAGCGATTTGAACCTGTCTCTAAATGAACAGATTGAGGCTGAGTTACACAGCCAAGAGATTTCCAAATGAAGGCGTTGGATTTGCCACATTTTTTTTCTATATGGACAGCATCGAATGACGAAAAATCAAAAGAGCACATTGTCACAAGGGATCAATGATACCGAGCTTTTCTGTAATGAAGGTCAGAAGTTGTAGACACTGGTGGAGTACCAGCTATTTACCCTGGTTTATTTGCACTCATACATTATTCATGGTTGTCAGATGACAAACCAGAGACACTGACACTGTCTTGAGACTAGTCAGACTTGATCAGCTGTCAGCAATACTAACAATGCCAAACTGTATGTAGGTTTTAAATATCACCCTTCCAAACTATAGACATCAATTATCACCCAACCAAACTGTAGACTTCAAATGTCACCCAACCAAGCTGTAGACTTCTAATTTCACCCAACCAAACTGTAGACTTCTAATTTCACCCAACCAAACTGTAGACTTCTAATTTCACCCAACCAAACTGTAGACTTCTAATGTCACCCTTCCAAACTATAGACATCAATTATCACCCAACCAAACTGTAGACTTCTAATGTCACCCAACCAAACTGTAGACTTCTAATTTCACCCAACCAAACTGTAGACTTCTAATTTCACCCAACCAAACTGTAGACTTCTAATTTCACCCAACCAAACTGTAGACTTCTAATTTCACCCAACCAAACTGTAGACTTCTAATTTCACCCAACCAAACTGTAGACTTCAAATGTCACCCAACCAAACTGTAGACTTCTAATGTCACCCTTCCAAACTATAGACATCAATTATCACCCAACCAAACTGTAGACTTCTAATTTCACCCAACCAAACTGTAGACTTCTAATTTCACCCAACCAAACTGTAGACTTCTAATTTCACCCAACCAAACTGTAGACTTCTAATTTCACCCAACCAAACTGTAGACTTCTAATTTCACCCAACCAAACTGTAGACTTCTAATTTCACCCAACCAAAATGTAGACTTCTAATTTCACCCAACCAAAATGTAGACTTCTAATTTCACCCAACCAAACTGTTTATGAATATTACCCTTCCAAACTGTAAACATCAAATATTATACAATCTAACTGTAGACTTCACATATCATCGAACAAAACCATAGACTTTTGACATCATCTATCCAAATTGTGGACTTCAAATATCACCTTACCAAGCTGCAGACTTCAAATTTCACCAAGCAAAAGTGTAGACATTCAAATATTGCCAACCAAACTGTAAATTTCAATTTTGACCCAACCCAGTTGTAGACTTCAAATATCACCGAACCAAACTGTGGACATCAAATATCACCCAACTGAATTGTAGACTTCAAATATTGGATTGAAATCAGGCCTCTCCATCATAGCCAATGCTGCTGTGGTGGGTTTGTGTAACAATGTTGAGATGTATGGCAGCATGGTTTAACTAATAGACCAGAGTAATTCAGTACTGTCAAATCATTGTTCACTTGTTTAAGATTGAACTTTTTTATGCATAGATTTGTATACTGGAACTTTATCAATCAAAATGTCTGTGAATATCTTGAACACCCAGAAATATCAAGGAAATGCTAAAGTAGATACAGAAATTACATTTTCAGGAACAAATATGATGATTTGTCATTTAAATGTAAACAAAATATACCTTAAAATCTTTCCCGTAATTTTGATTCATAACAAAATTTCATTTGATGTGATAAATCCATAATTCTGTCATCTGATTGTATGTGGCTATTAATTTGATCACCAAGGTAAAATGATGAGGGTGTGGTATTTATAGCCTGTGATCTTTGTTGTGACAGGGTACTTAGAAACCTCTCTCTACCATTGTTATCTATGAAGAGCTCTAATTGTCGCCAGCACAGTTTGAGTTTTCTATCTGGTTTCCAGCCGTTGTTATAAAGACTGGCCATTATGATGTAGAATGATGCTGGAGTTTTTTAAGGAGAAGCTAGATGATTCCATCCTGATTTTGTTACTGATTAAATCAAATGTACTCCTAAAGTATTGAGTCATGTCAACATTTTGGTTATAATGTTGTGATTCTAACAAGGAAAATTTAAAATGTGTGATAGAAAATAACGCCTATTCATATAAGAAATATTAATTAAGAAATAACATTTTCCTCTGAACATGATTCAGCTGAGTTTGAATTAGCTTTGTATGGATTCAGAAGGTATTCTAGTTCTAGCCTCAGGGTATTTACAGATATTAAAACAGAAATGGCCTCAAAAAGTGTCAAAAGTACCTGAGTCAGGAAATGATACACGAAATCAAGAAGTATGTCCATGTCGAACAACCTTCCAGTAATATAGACTTCACTGACTGAAATCTATATTGGTAATTCAAAGTCTACAACAGAATTTATTGACTGCCTTGGTGACTCATACATGCATTGATGACTCAGATAGACTTAAGATACTCAATTAAAGTTAGGTAGACATGAGCTACCCAGGAATATTTTGACAGTGACTCAGATACACTTGAGTGACTCATTTACACTTTGTTGAATTCCATTGTGACTCACAAGAAGACTTTGTTGACTCAGAGAGATTTGAGCAACTCAGGAACATTTTGGTAA